CAGGATGACAAGTCTTTCCTAAGTCTTTTTTGTCCACGCCTTCCAACTTAAAAGCGCTTGTTGTTGGATTTTTCGAATTTGATTCAAACATCTCGATTCTTTTTCTGTAAAAATTTTATTGGAAGGCTTTGGTCCATTATTTTCTATGCGGTTTTCATGTACGAAGCTAGCAATTTTGTACTGAACTTTGTTGAATAGCTTATATTTACCATTTCAGAAATTTTACGTTACGTTACGCTTTTCAATTGATGTGCGCCCTCCCATGGTCAACAATATAAGCTTCGCTTATATTTATAGTTACATAGTTAGCCATTATAGATGTAATCCTTCTTTGGCCGCGTCCAATGGTTTGTTGTGATATATTGAACTCCTTTCTTATATTCTCAATTTTTATGCTTAAAGAGAAAACAATAGTCTTTGATATAGACGTTTGTACTCCAATTTGTTTGTCTTAAGCATTTTGAATGTATGGCACCAATGTTTCTTTTATCTCGGCTTCAGTATAAGGAAATATAGATAGAAACGAAAAAGCTAAAGAATTGACAAGCGAAGGATCTGTCATTTTGCAAGAAGTTCTTGCAGAATCGGTTCTCACGCTACTTAGTGTGGTCAAAATCGATGGAAGAGTCTTGCAAATTATAAGATTAGGAAAACATTATGATCAGGACAATGGATCTGGATAGGATATACTTTAAGAAAATCTGATGAAAATATCGATCGATTAAAGTGGAATCTGCAAGGTTTTAGGCAACTCCGTACGCCACGAAACACGAATTGAAAAATACCAACTTAATAAATATTTAAGTTGATAATAGACATTTTGTGTTTCCACTAGAGGGAAAGGATTACATATATATACACAATCATTATTGCTTATAAGCGGGAAAAGAAGCAATGGTTTAAGGTTGATGGCAGTTCTTACTAAGTTTAATCTATTGGAAAATAGACGGCTAAAATAGGATCTCTCATAATTTTTATCACCCTAACGAATAAGAAATCGTCTTTAATTTCCTCTGTGCATGTTCTGCATTATAGACGGAGATATACATACATTCACTTTAACTAAACCAAATGTAAATATTCTTGAAAAGCTATTGAAAGCAAACATACACGATCCGGAAAGGTTTTTAAACTACACGGATTATATTTAACCAAGTTGTCTAGAAATAACTAATTAAACCGTTTATAACTAGCAGTCCAAAAATGTCAATTGGACTAATCGCCTGGACTGACTGACTACATGAAAACAACCGATCAACATTGTAGTTATTTACTAGAGCCACATATCAATTTTTATATACATTTTCTTTTATTCAGAATTACAAAACAGTAATTTAGTTTTAATTAGTCAACAATGATAATATATTATTTTATTTAAATATAATTATTTATTATTTTACAAGCAATTTGCACATACCATAAATTAGCACCTTAAAGGTTGCAGCAAGTTGAACCGATCTTATTAATACAAAACTTTAATAGTATAGTAAAATAATGATTTTGATTATAGAAATTGATATATAATAAAGTTTTTAATTGCATATATTTTTATATGCAATTATATTTTTTAATATTTTTTAAAATATTGTTTATAAGTAATAATAACAAAAATATCTCTTTTCGATTCAATATTAAATTTTAAAATTATACAATGTATGTAAATATTCAATAAATTAATTGTATTAAAATTTTAGTTATTATTCATATTCAAAAATAATTAAAAAAACAATCATTTTATTTTTAATTTATTTAAATGATATTATTTGATTCTCATTTTATTTTAATATTGAGTAATTCTTAAATAACATCATATAATAAATATGTAATTTGTTTGAATTGTATATGTGCATTAAATATTTAACAAGGTAATGTTTATTTTTACATAAATTGTTGCAATAAATTAATTACTTGTTTTAATTAAAAGATGTTAATTATAATGAAAAGTAGAAATCATAAATAAAAGTCTCATTTAAAACTTTAATTAATTATTTAGTATTTTTTAATGGAACTACCTAATTAATTAACACTACATATAGGATATTTTTGATATTAATTTAAAATGTTTAATTAAAATGAATTAATTTATCAACACATATTTTTCTATTTGAGTATCAATAAAATTATGACCGTGTCTTCAAAATTTGATTAAAAACTAGAGCTTTTTGTAGGAATATTTCATTAATTATATAAATAAATTTCATTAAATACACAACAATGGAGCGTTTTATGATAATTGTAATTATTTAAAGTTCTTACAAACATTTCCCTATTAATTATTTATGCTGTTTATGCATAAATTTAATTAAAAGTATTTAATTAAAATGCAACAATTAGTAAAAGTAATTATTTCAGAATAAATATTTATATTTATTTATAAAATTATATTTAAGACCCTAATTAATAATTTAAAGCTCTTAATAAATCTATCTCATTAATTATTATTTTAATACTGTATACATATAAATAATATTAGATATAATACATTGTTTCATTTAATTATTTTTATAAATTAAAATATTAAGTAGAATGTTACAATTATTTAAAAAATGTATTGCTTCTGTTTAATATTAATATTAAAATTGAAGTCTGATTCAAAATCTATGAATATATTTAAAATGCTTAATATAAATAACTTTGTGTAACAAACTTGTAAATATAAATAAAATGAAACAGTTAAAATTAATGCTTGTATTTAAATATAAATAAAATTATAGTCTCAATTATAATTTTAATTAATTATTTATAGTACTTAATGGAAGTATCTATTTAAACATTAAAATAACTTTGAAAATGCAATATTGTTGCTTATACATATTATATACAGATGTGCATTAAACAGGTTTAAAATGTAATAATTAGTTAAAATAATTATTTCTATTTAAATTTATGTTTATAAAATTAATTCATTAATTTTTGATACAAATAACATCAGATAACAACTTTGTTGTTTATTTATAAATTTAATTTAAAATAATTTAATTGTTTTTGCTTATATGTCAATGTAATTTAATATATTTATGAAAGTAGTTAAAATATTATTAATGTTTAAATATAATAAACTTTTTTAATTAATCTTCTTTTATAAATATCTTATATATTATTGTAAATTTATTTTTACATATAATATAAATATATATATAATATAAATTATTATTGTAAAAACTTTCTATATATGCATTTAATTGATTTTTTTACAAAGGGTATCGGCACATTTTTTAATTTTAAAATAATATAATTGGAAATTGTTGTTTTTATATTTTTAAAAGCAATTAACACGTTTTAAACAATATTTTTATTTTTATTAAATTATTTTATATTAATCAGAAAGATTTTAATTTTTTACAATATATTATTTAATAAAAAAATGTGTTATTGCCTTCCGTTTTAAAAAATAAATTAAATTCAATTTTATATGACAAAAAATTTTAATACTTGATACTAGATGTTGAACATATAACCTCAGGGATTCTATCTGCTAATCAAAATTCCAGATATTTATACGAAGTTACATATTAAAGAAAAAAGCTACGAAGATAAAATGTTAATAATTTGTAAGCATGTGAAAATTTGTAATATATATATTCAAGGAATTTATATTCAAATATATTCACACTTGAACACTGGAATAACACTCTGTAATTATATAAATTAAAATTATAAATTTTAGGGACTTATACATCATTAATGTAAAATCTATAAAAGCGTGACGACTCTAGAAATCAAGAATGCTATGTCACGCAGGGATAATAGCATAATTCAGTTACTGAATGATATCATCTGTGGTAGCCATTGGTTAAAAAGTTTTAATGTCTTTGGATATTTCAATTTATTGAATATGCTCCACAATATATGAAGTCCTACCTCACAGGCTTTTAACCTTGTTGTGTGTGTCGTTATTTCTAATGACTATAACATCAACAATATCATCTTAGATATTCTAAGTTCATATAAGGGCACAAAACAATTAATCAATTAATTACACTTATTATTTAGTTTAATTCTAAGTATATAATTTCGTTGCAATTTAACCGGTATTTGTACGCTGGCTGACGGTTGAGAAAACCTGGCTTCGATTTCAGCGTTTAGTACACCCGACTATGGTTTTAATTTCATCGTATAATTATTATTGATATTACGAATATTTTTCTTAATTTTTGTTTTATAAAAGAATTAAAATATAATCTAAAATTAAAGTCTACTTAATAGTGAAAGTGTTATCAATATTTGACTAAATAACTTTAGTTAAAGATTATTGATGTATATACTATCAAATACTGGGGTATTTGGGTAAATTTCTAAATATATTTTATATTATGAATTTTGTTTTAATCCGTAGTTATAAAGTAGTGACTCTGCCATGCATATCCACCTACTTCTAGATTATCTTGATTAATGTTTGTGCCAAATTGTTTGAACTCATATGTTGCACTGAAGTATGTATAGTATTCCTCTATAAATAGTAGAACATAGAATTACAATAATTTATCTTGTTAAGATTTTAAAAGAATCTCATACTCTATTCAGAGTCGTGTTAGTATGTTATACTTTGTTTATTCCAGATATTATATCAACGTAAATGATGCCGTATAAAAGTTGAATATTGCAAAGGTAGCTGATCTGTTATTATTCTTCCTGAATATTGTTGTCAGTTTATATAATGTGACATTAATTTTATCATTATCGTTTTTGTCGCCGTATTATGAGGTCAACATCTAACCCGTATTGTTGATTTTTTTCTGCAAGCCACTTAATGTCTGACATTACGTAAAGATAATTCCACTGTTCCTACAATCAACAACATTTACTGCAATTGAGTTGAATGTCATCTATATCTATAAATAAAAAATAAATCTTTTAATGAAATTAATTATTATTAATAAATTATTAACTAATTAATAGTAGACTTGCATTCAAAAACCAATCATATTATTATTAATTATATATTTAAAAAAGTGAATATAATAAGTACTCATTTAAAAAAATTTTACACTTTATTATAGCCACTTGTAGTGAAACCTGATCAACTCATTAAACGCAGAGGCAAATTAGGGCTTATTGGTGTGAATAAAAATCTAGATCAGGTCAAAACATGGCTGAAGGAACGTATGAACAAGGATCAAAAAATTGGAAATGCTGTTGGAAAACTTCGAAATTTCATTATTGAACCATTCGTTCCACATACTGATGTAAGTAAAAGTATTCATTTAATATTACTGATAATATAAATAATATTAAATATTTTTTCATTTTGATTTCAACATAGGCTGATGAAATGTACGTTTGTGTTTACTCGCATCGGACCGCTGATACTATTTTATTTTATCATCAAGGCGGTGTGGATATTGGTGATGTCGATGCTAAAGCTTTAAAACTAGATATACCGATCAATGAGGACATAACCATTGAAGCAGTGAATGCAAAATTGTTGACTCATGTAACCGATAAAGGAAAAAAACAACGAATTGCCAATTTTATTGTTGCACTCTATAAAACCTATGTAGACTTGTACTTTACATATTTGGAAATAAATCCTTTGGTTGTCACAAAAGATAATATGTATATACTAGATTTAGCAGCAAAATTGGACTCAACAGCTGATTTTGTTTGTCATGCTAAATGGGGAGAAATTGATTATCCTCCACCATTCGGACGTGATGCTTATCCTGAAGAAGCTTATATAGCGGACTTAGATGCTAAAAGCGGCGCTTCACTTAAAGTAAGCAAACACATAGAAAGTTAGGTACAGATTTACAATAAACACTTTAATTAAATAACCCTTAAATATTTGATATAGGACTCAGTGTCCAGTCTTATTTAAAGTTTAAATAAATATCACTATAGTGCAAGCCTGCTAAAAATGTGCATAAATATGATGTATATCCGAAAGTATAAAAATACACTGTAACAAAAGTAGAAATTCATTTGTAACGATTCAGTGTTCGTTTTTTTTGGGAAGTATGGATTATTAGGGGTTGTTTCTGTGCTTTCCTTATTTCTAATAAGTAATTATCAATTTATTTTAATGCTATATAAAACATTAAACTTTAATATTTATTTTTAAATCAGTATTTAAAGAATTAACTGTTTTAAATAATTTATGTAAATTGTAATTGATTTTTAATTATATAAAATAATGCAGTATAATTTAAATTCTATTTCTACTATTCTCTTTTTTTTAAATATATTTGAGGAAGTAGTAAAATGTGTAAAAAATCAGTTAAATTTTAATAACATAATGTATATATGCACATAAAATTATTGCAGTAAAATATTTTATTAATAATTAACTGCAGTTAATTAATGTAAAACATAAAAAAATGTACACAGAGTAGCTTTACTTCTATATCATTCAGCATCAATTCAAACGAACTAATTATGTTTACAAGTGTACAAAATTCAAACTTTTTGTAAATATTTCTTCAGTAAACACTATTTTTCCAGTGTAAAATACGAAACGTTAACGTCGTTCGCACAAATGCAGCATTTTAAGCAGTTCTGCTCTAGTGTCAAATCGACACTTAAGTGTGCATTGTAAATCTTAGTCCCTTATGTATTTATTAATTTTAAATAAAAATAATTAATTAAATTTCTTACAGTTAACTATATTGAATAGAAATGGTAGAATTTGGACAATGGTTGCTGGTGGTGGAGCTAGTGTTATTTATTCGGATACCATCTGTGATTTGGGTGGTTCTACTGAACTAGCCAATTATGGTGAATATAGTGGAGCTCCTTCAGAACAACAAACTTATGAATATGCCAAAACGATATTAACTCTAATGACCACATCTCCCAAACATCCTGATGGTAAAGTACTCATAACTGGTGGAGGTATCGCCAATTTTACAAATGTTGCTGCCACCTTTAGAGGTAAAATTTAATATAAAATATTATTTTTGATTATTGAAATAAATGATATATTTATATGTTATAGGCATTATAACTGCATTACGTGAATTTCAACCAAAATTGGTTGAACATAACGTGTCTATTTTTGTGCGTCGTGCTGGACCCAATTATCAGGAGGGTTTACGTAAAATGCGTGAATTTGGTAGTTCATTAGGTATTCCCTTGCACGTATTTGGACCAGAAACGCATATGACAGCCATCTGCGGTATGGCACTTGGTAAACGGCCAATACCTCAAACAGCTAGCGTGGAATTCTCCACGGCTAACTTCTTATTACCTGGTGGACAAGAGGCTGAATCTGTTAAGAATCCCTTTGCAAGTTTAAGTAGTGGTAATGGTAAGTTATTAGAAGTCCATGTTTTTTTATTAATTATTTCACATCAACAAAATTATTTTATAAAATAAAATACACATTTATCCTTTCTTTTCACATATTGGTCTTTTACTACATTAATAATAATAACAATTTCTTTTATTTATTAATTATGCATTGCCTCTTTTGAAAAATATTTATTTTGATTTTTTTTTGTATTTTTGTATGTATCCTCTTCGTCCTATTGTTAAATGTAATTGGTTATCCTGCTCAACATCCAAATAAATCAACATACTAAATTTCTTCATATTGCATACATCAACTTTTTGAAAACCAAAAACAAAAAAAAAATGATTTGGAAATGATTTGTTTGTTTGTTTTTTTTTAATTTTTTGTTTAAAATATTAACATTAATTTTAATCATTAAAAACGTTTGTCCGTTAAATCATTTGTAAATTTGTTACTATTCGCTAATGTGTTAATGTATGTGCGTGTTTGTATGTCTATATCGCATATCAACTCGAAAAATATCCTGAAACAAATCATTTGGGAACAAATTTAAGGTTTAGGTTCACCTCAACAATCGATTAAACTACCACCTATCTCAGCAGATGATAGAGCAGATGGAATCCATAATAACGTAGCAAGCAATACTCGTAAATATTTCTCAAGCACAACCAAAGCAATTGTATGGGGAATGCAGCAGAGGGCGGTACAATCAATGCTTGATTTTGACTTTATATGCAGGTTTGTCACTTATTATTTTTGCTATTATATACAATATTTACTAATTCCTTATTTATTTTATTTAGACGCGATGAACCTTCCGTTGTGGCCATGGTATATCCATTTACTGGTGACCATAAACAGAAGTTTTACTGGGGACATAAGGAAGTATTGATACCGGTCTATAAACAAATGTCTCACGCAATTAACAAACACAAGGACGTTGATGTTATGGTTAATTTTGCTTCATTGCGTTCTGCTTATGAGTCTACATTGGAGGTTTTAGAATATCCTCAAATTCGAACAGTCGCTATAATTGCTGAAGGCATACCCGAAAATATGACCAGAAAATTGATTGTGGCTGCAAATAAAAAAGGTGTGGCTATTATTGGACCAGCCACAGTTGGTGGCGTTAAACCAGGCTGTTTCAAAATAGGCAACACAGGTGGAATGTTAGATAATATTTTACATTCGAAATTATACCGACCGGGTAGTGTAGCATATGTGTCACGTTCAGGTGGCATGTCAAACGAATTAAATAACATTGTTTCCAAAGCAACTGATGGTGTATTGGAGGGCATTGCTATAGGTGGTGATCGGTACCCTGGTACCACTTTTATGGATCACATTTTGCGTTATCAAGCAGATCCAGAAGCTAAACTATTAGTACTGCTTGGAGAAGTAGGCGGTACGGAAGAGTACGAGGTGTGTGCCGCCTTAAAAGACGGTCGTATCACAAAACCACTAGTAGCTTGGTGTATTGGTACTTGTGCAAGTATGTTCACGTCAGAGGTACAATTTGGCCATGCAGGTTCATGCGCAAATTCTGATCGTGAAACTGCAACTGTAAAGAATAAAGCACTCAGAGATGCTGGAGCATATGTACCAGATTCATTTGACACACTAGGCGATCTCATACAACAAGTTTATGCAGAACTAGTTAAATCCGGCCGAATTGTACCAAAAGAAGAGGTACCACCACCAACAGTGCCAATGGACTATTCATGGGCACGCGAACTTGGTTTAATACGTAAACCAGCGTCATTCATGACATCAATTTGTGATGAACGTGGTCAAGAATTGCTTTATGCGGGTATGCCAATTAGTGAAGTGCTTAATAAAGATGTTGGTATTGGTGGTGTAATATCGTTGCTATGGTTCCAGCGTTGTCTTCCACCTTATGTTTGCAAATTCTTTGAAATGTGTCTTATGGTGACTGCTGACCATGGTCCAGCTGTATCAGGTGCTCACAACACAATAGTTTGCGCTCGTGCTGGAAAGGATTTAGTTTCCTCTGTTGTAAGCGGATTATTAACAATTGTAAGTATGCACATTTCGAACTTTTATTAATGACTTATATATTTGTTAGAGTGTTTTCGAAAAGTAGTGAACTACAATCACAAAAATTCTTTTTATATTATTTTAATTAATTAAAATTTTGACTGACCATACAGCTGTTTCGAGTATTTCGAAATACCAATCCTCATTGGTCTTGGAATATATATTTCTTATATTTAATTTTTTGTGAATAATTTTTTGGACTCGTGTCCTGCCAAATTTAAAGCTCAGATTTAGTGTTCATTAGCCAACTGACCCAAAGTCGAATAATATATAGTATATATTTTATGGAATGTGCTAATTGATCAGTTAATTAAATTTTTGTTTTGAGTTAAAATAAAACGAAAGAAACTATTTTTTTATAAAAATATTTTTACTTTATTGAATTTTTTGACTGATCATAAAGCTGTATTGCTTAATTCTTATCATTTGTGGCGATTGTTCATTTTATTAGGTCGTATATAACGATTGGATTACAAGCGACAGACTTAGAACTTTGAAGCTACAGAATTAGAAGCGATTACTACGCGTGTGTTAACGTAGCTTTAGCAGCCTAAAATATTCATTGTCCAAATTTTGAATTTTGTGTTAATTTTTTATTAATTTCTCGGAAATAACCATCAAAGCACTTGTCCAATATCTGAGACAAGTATATAGTTAGTCCAAATCTATATCTACTTAACAATTGAATTTATGAATAAAGACTTCCCTTTTCTTTATGAAGTAAAAGCTTTATCATAGACAATAAACATTTTCATTTATAATACAATAAAATTAAAAATTTTTTTTCCCACAGGGAGATCGTTTCGGTGGTGCTCTTGATGGTGCGGCTCGCCAATTCTCTGAAGCGTATGACTCTAATTTACATCCAATGGAATTTGTTAATCAAATGCGAAAAAAGGGTCAACTCATTATGGGTATTGGTCATCGTGTAAAATCAATTAATAATCCTGATGTACGTGTAAAAATAATCAAAGAATTTGTTATGGAAAACTTCCCCTCGTATCCATTATTAAACTATGCACTAGAAGTTGAAAAAATAACCACAAGCAAGAAGCCAAATCTAATTTTAAATGTTGACGGTGTTATTGCCACATGTTTTGTAGATTTATTACGAAATTGCGGATCTTTCACCAGGTATATACATATATATATAAATATTAATTAGACATTATAGTTAACTTAAAAAAATATTTGTTGCAGTGAGGAAGCACAAGAGTACATTAATATTGGCGCTATAAACTCATTATTTGTACTTGGTCGCAGCATAGGATTTATTGGCCATTATATGGATCAGAAACGTCTCAAACAAGGTCTCTACCGCCATCCATGGGATGATATCTCATATGTTATGCCAGAAAATTTCAATTAAGATCAGAATTTAATTGTTTCGGCAGTAATAAATTAGTTTAACAATACAGAAAATTAAAACACTCCATAATTTATATTTACGTTATTGTTGTTGCAAAACAAAACGCTTAGCGTCTCATTTAAGTTTGCATTTATAGATTCTTTATTAAATTATTTATCTTTTTTGAAACAATATTAAAAAAAGGACATTGGAACTAATTTGACATTTTAATTGTTAATGTGAAACTAAATTTAAATAATAATATATTGATATTATTGTGTATTATATTAATTAGAATTATGTATTTATGTAATTCAAATATTTATAAAATTGAAGTTATTAAAATTTAGAAATATTTTTACAATGCACACTGCACCACATCATTCAATCTTTGTAAATTAAAATTCTTTAAATGATTTTATGAGTTTTGAACTGGGGAAGGCTTGATACTGTTGATACATGGAAAATGGATTTAAATTAAATTATGCTTACATTAAAAATTTGTAGTAATTTTTTTACGCACTCGTTGGATGCACAAAATTAAGAATAAATAAAATACAAATTCTATGTAAACAATATTGAAATCAATAAAAAAAAAGTAAAAATAGAAAAACATTTGCTATTTTAACTTTTACGATCAATTTATGTGAAGTAAGTATTTATAATGTTGAAGATCTTATTTTTGTGACTGGCAATGCAATTGTCTACAAGTTTTGTTCTGCAAATGTTTGGAGTTCCAGACGTTATTCTAACCCATACGGCAAGAAAGCATGATAACATATATAACATTAATCCAATATATTTCTAAAAAGTAATTCTTCATGTTAAGTTATTGATAATATATGGTTTTTCTTCAGCAATTTTTAAATTATAGTTATTAATGCCATTAAGGCATCAATTTAAAATTACACAATTAAGTACGTAACCAACCACAATATAAAATAAGCCAAACGGTTCTAAGAACGTTCGAATCTACGTCCTAGAGCCTTCGATGAATAAGTGGCGTTCATCACTTCGAAAAGGATATAACAACAACAAATAAGTGAAGTACTTTTTAGGAAAAAGAAAATCTACATGGTTCTGGACGAACTTAATCACCTGATTTACAAAAAAGTGGCCAGAAACCGATAATGATTTAAATAACAGCTATAAAATAGAACTTGTTGGGAAGTTTACAGAGTAAAACGTGTTGGTGTAAAAGATACTCATGAAAGAGCTAGAAGTAATAACTTAAAATTCTACAGAAAGCATGTTGTCATCAACTGAAGTATTTTAATACGTAACATAAATAATATATTCAGGAGTACTGTAAAAATTATTGCAAATAAAACCGAGAAAATGATTAGTTAGAGTGGCTAGGCTTAATATTTGCAGTCGTTGAAAATATATTGACGTTAAATGTAGGATTTGAACACGTAACCTGACAAATCTAAGATTTCTGGAATTAGTCCCGTGAAGCTCAGAAACTAAATGGGAAAAAGAATAAACAGATGGTTATAACTAAAATGTGTTGCTTGGAAAAACGATCACTGAAATGAAAAAAATGGTACGGTATAGTTAAGACTAGAAAGGAATCACCAAACCCTCAAATTCTACACGTTGCTGTATATATAATAATAATCCGGACAAGTTGATTACAAAACATAATTTTAATCAGGAATTCCTACTACTGCGCGATATATATCGATTTATACAATATAGCTTACTTCTGAGAACATCGAAAATTGTAAACTTTTACATTGCATTCATAAACATCGATTAACAACAAATAGATGTGCAGTGCCATACTGACTGTATCTACTTGTTGATAGACATTTTCAAATAAGTAAAAAATATTTCAAAAACTGTATTATGTTCTTATATTCACATATAGCGTAGTGAAAAATGTTGCTCAAAATAACTGTCACTGTAACTGTTAATGAAAATCTCTAGTCAAATAGATGTGCCCGGAAAATTAGAATCGTGGCTTTATAATTAATATATGAGTAATTTGCATTAATACTTCAAAATTTTTAAAACCAATGTTCCAGCTATTCAAAAACGATTAGATTCAACACTTTAATCTTCATCCCATCAATGTTCAAACACAAAGTATACCTGAACAGCAAAATACACCATCAACTCGAATAAATCTAGAAACGGGTAGGTCTGCGTTCCTTCTATTGTAATTATTTCCACCTCCTAATCCACTCTTACTGCTAAACAATTCCCTCCTCTATCGCACTACCTATATTCTAACCTATCTACAGGTATTTGTAATTCCTTTCATGTTATCTGTTGACCTTCTCAACAAGATCAATACCAGTTCTCTTTGAGTTACAACAAAACCAGCTAGAATGTTTGTGTGTAAGACTTAAAACGTTTCGTATGATTTTTCATGCTTAACTATATTCAAAAGTAGTTGACTCTCTAGCTTAACTCAAAATAATCAAAAAATAGAACCTAATCAAAATTATATTTGAAAAGAAACAAATTATGACTGTTTCATTTTGTTTCTCTAAACAGATTTCGACATAAGTGCAGTTACAATTTTGACCGTTTAACAGTATTGGAAATTAGCAAAATATAATACATCCATATAAAATATACATATCTATATAAAATACATATATCCATATAAAATATATATATCTATATGAAATACAGATATCCATATAAAATATATATATCCATATAAAATACACATACCTATGTAAAATATATATATCCAAACTTTAACTTTCAAACTCTTCTGATGGCAATTAATGACAAATTATGTCGTAACATTTAAACAAAAATTATATTTTCAATCAATTTAATTTTAAAAAACTAATGTCACTAGCTTTTGCAACATTCTCAGATGTTCCATTCATTTCATTAGACATTAGACTTTTTATTATTATCATCTGTTGATAAGACATTTATATTATTTAATATTATACAAACATTTAATTTAAATTACTTTAACTACAACCGTATTTATATCTAAATGAATCTGTTAATTTTTTTTTATTGGTTAATATACGGAGAGTTTAGCATTCTAATTAATGTGACATTATTGTTAACATTTGAACTGCAATTTTTAATCAGTAATCGATTTGTAGAAAACACATTTATAAGCAGATTAAGGAAGTAAATAATTTTTTGAATTTGAATATGGAAGCTTTTTTTCAATTAATTATTTTACAGTTCTACAGTGCAAACCATTTCAATTGTAATATTTTTGTAGTTTAGTTTGCAGTTAAAAGTTCATATAAACGAGTAAATATAATTACAAAAATGCATACATTATATTTGATGGATCAAATCTTATATTTTTATTCTAATATACACCAAACAACCAAAAAATGTATAAAAATAAACTATTCACTTCCAGCTGTGTTCAAATTCAAAAAACTCTGTTACAGTGATCACTAGTAGTGCTGCTTGGTTCTTAGTTTTTTATACCACATTAAACTGTAGCATTTGACTTAGATTTGTTAAGTCTCAATATACAAAACGGTTTTCATCTCATCCTCCGCATTTTGCGCTCCATTTTTCTCTGCTTTTTCTCATCAACTTGGGTCTGTTCTTGACTTGCGTTTCGCTGTATTAACCATGGTTGTATTACGCTTCGCCACAACATCCAAATGGCACGGCCAGGTGCTAACAGCAACAAAAACCAAAAGTAATTGGAAATTAAAGCAAGCAGCATAGTACCAGAGGAGAGTATAACAAGATCTTTGACATGTCTAATAAAAAACAAAACCAAAAAAATGAAGCTTAATGAGTTCAATCTATATTGTAATGCATTTTTTCTTACTCTGCAATGCCGCCCTCCATATTTAAATCACTGCCTGAATCTAAAAGAGCTCCAGAATCCATATACTTTGGCTGTGACATAAACTTCATGAACTGGTAAGATGCAGTTAGAGCTATTATTGTTAGTATACTCATGATCTAAAAGTTTAATAAAGCTTGTGAGTGTAACCTTGTATATATGTATATATAGGCGTGTTCATTTTACCACTGTAACTTTCGATATTTCAAAAAATATAGCATTTACTATAATTGACGCAGCTGCACTGCCCAGACCCATGTTTCTGTAAAACGTTAATGTACTTTTGTTCTCCTCCACGATTTGTTTTGCTCCTTTGGTAGCTTGTTTACCCTTTTGTTGTGGCTATAAATTAATTGATAAATGAAATTTTAAGCAAATTCATTATAACTCTTATATTATAGCTTACCGCCATAGTAAATGCTTTTCTACTTAAATACTGAGTGAATCCAAAATTTTGTACTTTATCAAACTTGCACTTTCACTTTCAATGTAAATTTTGACACGCAAGAAAAATAGACGAGCAAGTGCGAATAGCTAAAACAGGGATGCTTTTCAATTATTCGTGTGTTTAGAAAAACTTTACTTATTATATACAGTATGTATAATATTTTGATAAATATCACATTTTTTTTAACTATTTTACATTATATTATAATATACCATATTAAGACATTAAATATGTAGATGAATACATATATTACATATATGTATATAACTATATTATAAAATATATATATTTTTTATATTGTAGATATATTATAAAATATATAATATACTATAATATATATACATATACACTATATTATAAAATTATAATACAACAACAAATATCTGTTATACTACGCTCAGACAGTCAATTTTCCTTAATTTCGTTAAAATGATATTAAGTTAGTATGGAAAGTGTTCATACTGCCAAAAATTAAGGAAATCATATGTTTTCTATATACAAAACGAATGTTAAAAATTACATGCTTAAAACATTAAGTCTGTTTCACGAGCTACTCGCAGTAAAACTCATCGATGTGCCAAATTACGCTTTTTACGCAGATTTTCATGGAACAGCTTTGTGTAAAATCTGGTGAGAACACCAGTGCCGTGCAAATAAACAATACAAAAATTTAAATTCAAGCTAAAACAGCTGATTCACATATCAACATAAATTTTACTTGAAATAATATGTACGAGTAAAGTCTGTGTAGCGTTTTCATATTTCTACAGCGACGTTACGTTTACTCAGTTGCTCTTATTTGCTCAAAAATTTGCTGGTCCAACGCACGTGTGTATACACATCGTTATTTAAAGTTACTATGAGTAACTCGTAAAACAGACAAATAATAGGTCTGTTTCTGTATCTGCGAAATTTTAAAAGTTGAATTATTATAATTATAAAGGATGACATTCCGTAGTTTTATTAGATTAAGTGAATTACAGGTATGTAGATTATTCTTATCCACACTATTTTAAATTAACAATAGTTGCAGTTTTTTCTCGATATTCAAATTTGAAAACTTGCACTGCTTTCAATTAACGTCATTTTCTTTAATTTTGTTCTAACCTTAAAACTGAATTTTGAATAGAAAAAGAAACGAAGACGAATTACTATAATAAACATTTTAGTTATATATACTTTAGAAAAAAAAATGTATATAAAATAAATTATAAGGTTCGAATAGGAATAAAAAGATGAGTTCTAAGCCTGGCACTTGCAGTCCAAACAAATTGTATACGAATTGTAAACTAATTAAAAAATTCGAATTTTTCCTAAGACTACTAATGATGAGTACTTGGCAATACTCGAAACAGCGTTGTATGCTCAGCCAAATTTAAATAAATTAAATAAATTTTTGTTGTTGTCTTTTCATTTTTTATTTAACCCTTCTAACTTTTAAATAGTTCCTTTTCGTCATGAGACCCGTCACGGCAAGAAAAAATTAACATTAAAAAATAAATTAAAAACAGCGCATAAGTAGTAGCAAAATCGCGCGTACTTCGCAAAACGGAGTGGCATCACTGACGATTTAATTTTTATTTACTTGGGGAAAAGTAGCATTTGTACCTTGAACCAGACCAGTAAGTAGAACGTTAAGTGTGAAGTGCCTACGCTAGATTTAGTTTAACTTAAGTAATGAGCATTATTTGATATGCAGTTTAACATGGATAAATGGGTTCAGTTAAATAATCACGTCGCCGGCAGAGATAAAATTGCCAGGTATGATGCTGCTTTCCAACATTAACAATAGCTCTTTTTGATTTAAATTTAATATTTAACAGGTTTGTACAATATGCCTCTAGAGCAGTTTGGGATACTTTAGAGAAAAAAGATTTAAGTCCAGCATTAACAGATAATTTCAAGACATTGGAATATATACTGAGCACATTCCGCAAATGTAAGCAAATGCAATCAAAGCTTATATGTATGTACAATGTATTTATAATTAATTATCAATATTTTTTAATTGCAGTGTTACGTTTCGGTAAATGTTTGGATGTTTTTTATGCCTCATTGCGCACAATACACTACCCCGATTTAGCTATACGTGTTACCTTAACACTGGGCAAATTGTCACAAGCACTTTTTTTATTAGCTGATCATTTCATGTGGTTGGCTAGAACCGGTCTTTTCAAAAGCATCAACACAAAGAAATGGAGTAAATTTGCTAACAAATATTGGCTCCTATCGATTATTATGAATTTGTGCCGAGATGTATATGAGATTTATCGTTTATTAGATTTGCACAAAGCCAGCGTTAAGAGTGGCATTTCACGTTGTAATGCAGTGCCAATGCGTTTAAATTCTCCACGAGAATTGAGTCGAATTGCTTTGCATTCATATGCTATGATACTTGGGCATAAGGACGTATTTGTCGATACAGTGAAAAATGTATGTGACTTTTTCATACCACTTACTGCACTTGGATACACAAATATGTCACCACGCACAATTGGATTATTGGGAGCTATATCGTCTTTGGCTGGATTATATGCATTAATTGAGCCAAAAGCAAAATTAACACCTGCTTAATAACATAACCATAATCATTTTTTTGTGCTAAGAAATTAGCATTGTTTTTAGTATTTTAATACGGTGATTAAAAGATGTAGTTATTTAATCTTATCTGAACAAAGTTCTTATCAATATATTAATTTAAGACACATTTGTAATCGAGAAAGTGATTATTTATGTTTATATAATGAGAGTTGTTTATGTAAAACTATTTTTTTGTCGACATTTTTTAATTAAACAATGTAAATGTTTTTTCTATAATAGTTTAATCTGATTATAATGACAACAACAAGATAACAATCGGTTGGCTATTCAATTGTTTACACTAACAAATATTCAATAAAAATATACAGGTGCAAATTATTTAACATAAGATTGAATTTCATTTCAACTAATTTTGCGTGTATATATTACACATTTATATACCAAAATATATTATTAATAGTTTTAAAAATTCACTTTAAATTTGAGTTTAAGTTTATTTATTTACTTTAGCTTCAAATAGTACGAAACAGCTGTTTGTTATTTGTAAACATTATGGAGTGTTGCCAGATAACTGAAAGCACACATTATTTTAGTTAAACATTCTGACAATTTTAAACAGTTATTGCAAAAATTTTTTTTAAATATTTATACTTGAAATTTAACAACAATCGTTTGGATTAGTAAAATGAAACTAAGTTTAAATATTTTTTTAAATTAATTTTTACAAGAATTTATTTTACAACTGATTATGTTTGTAAAAATACAGTAATATGGCAGCTGCGTTATTTTTATTGAATACGTGAAATTTCATTTATTCATACTTTAGAATGTTTTAAACTGCAGAGTGAAAATATTAGAAGTCGGCTGCGAGGAGTGCTTCCATATGTGAGATATTGAAATATGCACCAATATACACAAATTCAAAGCGGATTGGATATGCATAATCGGTGCTGCAATGGGCGCGCCTGGTGTGTTAAGGTTGATGAGATATAGCAATTAAACCCAATTTCAGTTTATTAAATTTATTCAATTTTATTGCAGGATATATGCGGCATCGTCTGTGCAATATTTACCTGGTTATTAATCCTTTTTGCTGAATTTGTTGTAATGCGAGTTATTCTTTTATCCAGTCCACATACCATTTTTAGTACAATTAATATAGTTGTGTTCCAAGCATTAGCATTTCTAGCATTTGCCTCACATATACGCACGATGCTCTCCGATCCGGTATATTATCCTATTAATTCAATATATATCTTTTATAAATAATAATGTATATGTACGCTTAATATTTAAGGGTGCCGTTCCGCGTGGTAATGCCACTAAAGAAATGATTGAGCAAATGGGTTATCGTGAAGGCGAAATGTTTTTTAAATGCCCTAAATGCTGCAGCATAAAACCAGATCGTGCTCATCATTGTTCAGTTTGTCAACGTTGTATACGTAAAATGGATCATCATTGTCCATGGGTGAATAATTGTGTTGGTGAAAATAATCAAAAATACTTTGTCTTGTTTACGGTATGTCATTTTATTTTTGTTTTTAATTTAACCTTTTACCTTTTATTTTTATGTAAACATTTTACATATAATATATATAAAATGCTTTCTCTTCTTTTTCAGTTCTATATTGCTTCGATATCAGTGCATGCCATGTTTCTGGTTATAACCGAATTTACAGAGTGCGTGAGGAGTGAGTGGCGACATTGTTCACCTTACTCTCCGCCCACAACTATATTCCTATTATTATTCCTTACATTTGAAGCGCTTATGTTCGCTATATTTACGATAATTATGCTGGTCACCCAGCTATCTGCGATTCTTAATGATCAAACTGTAAGTGTCAAATATGTGGTTCTTAAATGTTTACATTTATATTTTTTGGTTTTGGTTATTAATAGTTTTAATTGCAGGGAATCGAGCAACTTAAAAAAGAGGAAGCACGTTGGGCAAAAAAATCTCGCATTAAAAGCATACAATCTGTCTTCGGAAGATTTTCACTGGCATGGTTCTCTCCATTTACGAAACCCTCCTGTAAAACAAAGTTCAATTCTCATTTTTACTCAGTGTAGTGTGTGTACAAATAAATTTCCTTTATTTATCTCAATGCAGGGGTATATATATATGGAATAGTTCGATTGGGACAATAATAACAAATATGACTAATATACCCCGTGATGCAGCAATAATTATATGTACTATACATGTATATTTATATTTATCTTTATATTTACATTTATATATGTATATATTTTTTAAAATGTTATCTTCTAATCGTTTTCCTTCTTACCGATTGTAATAAATCAATTTTTCGTTAGTTCATCTGTGGTATTTCATGTCGCTACACTGGCACATGCAGTACACGTACTTGAGTGGCTTTATCGATCAAAATTTTTAGGTGCGAATGCTTAGAGCAGAAATGGGTCTTTTACTATTTCTGCTGAAGAAATTTATTGATTTTGAAGGTTTCTCGTATGTACATGTATGTTACTTATTAGCATTAAGGGAAATGTTGCAAATACACTTAAAACGTTTATCGAACAAAACAAAGAAATAACATAAAAATAGTTTTATTATATTATAATAATTAATAATTAATTAATTAATATTATAATAATAATTATATTATAATTTTGCTTCAATAAAATTGCAATAAACAAATTTTAGCAATAAAACGCTAAGAAAATCTGTAAAATTAACTTATAAAAATCGAATGTGATTTATAAATTTATTTATTTACGATTAATAAAAAAAATGCATTTTGTTTGCTAAAAAAATAAGGAAGTTTCTTTCCGAATTTTTATTTAAATAAAATTCAAGTCAATCATCACGAAGCAACTATTTTTAAATAAAAAAGGCGTGAATCGTAATAAATTATAAGAATTTTATTTACAAATAAATTACTTTCTTGGTGGACCATGCACTACTATTTTGGATATTGCCAAATACTCATCACCAGTGGACTTTGAAAACATTTAGTTGAATTTATTTATTTATCTATAATTTTTAGCAGGGCTTCGAATTGGATTATACGGAAATTTTGTTCATGGTTTTGTTTCAGTTTAATTAAAAATTATATTTAAGTAACGTATATATAACTTAACAATTACTTTAATACAATTTTAATACTGAATTTGATAACTAATGTATATTTGCCCTACTGGTTGTCGTTGTTGTTGTTGTAACCCGCGGAGATCTCTCAAGTAGATAACAGGTAAGGAATTTCAAATACCTATACATAAGTTAGGTTGTGGATAGGTGATGGTTGAGTGACAGAGAATGACTATATAGGAGTAAAAATGGATTGGGATAGGTTGGATTTTAAATGAAGTCAACCTTGTTCAAGACGGAGAAACCTATGTTGTATCAAGCAGATCCATCTACTGGTTGGTTAGATTGTGAGTAGGTGATGGTAGTATGAGAGGGAAGTATATTTCTTAAGAATAAGAATGACTTGGTGATGGGTGGGATTTTAATTGAAGTCGACTTGTGTTAACCAAAGGTCAGTTCGATTCTTCAAGTTAGTTTGTACATTGGGACATAAAAACAGTAGAGTGACATCATAGAGTGACAGAAATGCAGTTAGGGCACATATGGGGAATTGTCGCATTTATGCGTGACAAGAAAGTATTTAGCACATAGCTATATCCTGATTTCTATTGAGATAGACAGTTTGTGCTACACGTGAAAGGCTTCATTATTCCCAGGAGATATTGGGTGTAGCTCTATTGAGAACTTTGATATAGTGCAACCGTAGTCTTGAAGGATGGTCTACATTCTAGGGTGTAAACAAACAAAATACAAATTAATTGGGTTAATTTTTGGTATTTTAACAGGTAAAGGTGTAAAGTTATCAAAAGTAACTTGAAAAATATATCAATTTAATCGAAAAGTAGGTATATATGACAAAAGCAACGTTTTTTCCAGTTTTCTATTTAATTTCTACAGAATTTTTTTTATGTATTAGTATGATTATTTTAAAGACGGAAAGTTAAAAAATTTATTCAATTAAAAAACATCTATTTGTATAAAGATTAGTTTTGAACCCATAATTGATTAAATTTTTACCAACTGAAGAGGATTGCCTATGAATAAGTAATTACTAAACTGTACAGTAAAGAGACAAACAGATATATATTTTTTTTTCGGTTCGGTTCCGGTCTTAACTCCGTAGTAAACTATAATAACTAAAGTAAAATCATAGTATCGGGTTTTTTGGCTTTCAGATTTCGCAAACTTATACCCTGTCAAATTTGAAGACTAGAGTGAGGTTTTAGAAATTTGACATCAGTTCATTTGGTATATTATATATAACAGCTATACTTCAACTTCATTTATGTTATTCTATTTCAGTACTATTTACTAGTTAAGTACATATATAGTGTGTTTGATCTGTTGACACCAGTTAAATCAAACATCGGGAATTAAATGGTTAACGCAATTTCGCAAATCTTTTCGAATTTCACTATTTCGTTTTTCATTTATCATGATAGCGAATTTACTGTTTATTATATACTGAAGTTACGTTGGTGAATAAAGTGAGCAGATGTCGAAAATATGTTTAATTAAAGTCTATTTATTTTTATAATCCCGTCTACGAAGAATCTTTCGCATTAATTTTATAGATTCTCTTTAGAATTTTAATCATTATTTAATAGTTAATAGAAACTATTGTATTTAACATAATACAGCGATTTCGAACAGTAATGAATTGCAACAATAAAATTTTATTATTTTTAATTAATTAAATTTTTGGCTACCCTTACAGCTGCTCAGAGTAATGTCAATTACTAGACCACTATCATTAGTGGTCTAGTAGTCATTTCTTATATTTAATTTTTAGTAAATAGTTTTTTGAGATTGTATGTACCAAGGGTTGAATTAGCACCCTGCCAAATTTGAACCACAGAGTCAGTGTTCATTAGCCAACGAAACCAATTAAAAATAATAAAATTTTGTTGTGCAATTCACTACTGCTCGAAACCTCTCTAATAATTGAAATAAGTAATTCTGAAAAATTTGATAATATCACAACGTTTGTTGTCTCATCAACATCATTAGAGGACTCTCAACTTCCATTTGGTTGTTGAAATCCTCTTGGCAAAAGGCGTCATTGTTATGAATTATGTTTCAAGATCTTAGCATTAATTCTTTTTTTGTCATTTGTTAGTCATTCGATTTTTGGTTGTGGGCATGACACTGATTATAATCATGTTTTGTGTCAAATCATGTACAATTAAAAGTGATATAACATATAAAAATTTCATTAATACAGCATGGGCAGAGTTTGTTAACATCGACTTTTAAGTAAAAAAGGTATTGCTTGAAGGTATATGTTATTTACCTATTTATTTATCTATCTATTTACATATCGTTGTTGCATTTAAAAAACATATTTTGAAGATTGGAAAAAATGCTTTGATAAATGCTTCGAACGTATGCAAAAGTGTATAATCATAAAGGATAATACTTTGAGAAACAATAAAGCAATTTTCAACGACAAATACAAATAGTGACTCTCATATTAATGATTTATTTATTAGAGTATACTGATTATATTTGAATAGTTTAATATCTAAATATTTATTAATTTTAAAAATAAAAAACAAAGCGTTCATCTATACAAACATTTTTGATGAAACAATTTGAAAATATATTTTGATAAGAATTTATTTTCAACATAATGGACTACCAGGTCTAAGTGGATCCTAGGTGTCATAATAATAACATTAGAAAATTTTAAAGATACAAATGTGTACTTTTTTATTCTATATTTTGCAGTGCATTTGTAGTGTTATGATTATAACAATATAAATAAAAATAAAATGTCTAATAAATGTGTATGTAAAATTAAATTCTAACAATTGTTTTTATGATTTATCTCACATATTCAATTATTATATACAACAATATATAAATATTTAAATATCTAAATATGTGTAAATGTATTTAATATATTTTCTGTATGCAATGTAGTGCACAAACCGAATTATGTTCAAATTAATTTGTTGTCCCGGTAGAATTGTTTATTTGGAACATGTAGAACTCTCACTCAATAGACGCCAAATGTTATATATTCTTGTATACTTTTCGACGACTTTCTCCGCAAGATCAAAAGAGCAAGGCGAACCTAAAATAACTGTGCGCACATTAATATTTTAGAAAAGATATTCACGACACGATCAGTCTGAGGAAAACTATCGGCGATCCAGGTTGGTTCTTTTAAGTGTGCTGGACGTATGCGCGTAAAGATTTTGGCAAAATCTTATATGGCTTATATAGTATAATCTCGGTGTGTATATATAGTATATTGTGCGGTCTACATATATATATATACATAGATGTGTGTGAAAATTAAAATTTTTAATTCGTTTTTAAAAATTATATGTTAAATGTTTTCATTGTTTGATAAATGTGAAAAATTTTTTTTATTAATAAAAAAAAAATATTTAAAAAATATATTGAATATATATAGAAATATATATTAATACATATATAGTTATTTATAAAGTGTGAAATATTAAAATTATTAAAGAAATAAAAAAAATTATTTCTTAAATAGTAAAAAATAATTTTATAATATAAAAGCAATCAATTCAAAATCTATTATTGGCTTTTTTAAATAATTTTTTTAATTGAAAGTGCAATCGTCCAAAAATACGTGCTATGTGCGGTGTTGCGTCTGTTTGTGTGCCGTTGTACTTAATGCCGTCGTGTGTGTTTGTGTATCTGTGTGAAATCTCCCAAATTAATGTGTAGTGCCATGTTCTAATTATAAATCTTTGCTTCTATTCCGCATTTTACTTAAAATTATTAAAAATTATTTAAAATTATTATAAAATTATAAAAATTTAATCATTATTTAAATTCTTTAATATATAAATTTTTTGGATCTAGGTTAAATATTGCCTAGTATCAGTAATACACAAAATTATAAATTACACAAAGTCGAAATCTGAAAAGTCGAAATCATTATATCTGTAAATCCCCTAAGATTTTTCCATGTGAATGTAAAATAGGTACAAATTAGTGGAGTATTTGGATAGTATTGGATAGTATGGAGACTAACGACATAGGCGCTTCTACTGCTGAAGCAAATGCAATTCAAGGAACTACAACTTCAGCGGTTTCTGGTCCAGACGCTTCAGGTAAAATTCTGCTACTGCACTGCACTGCCCATGTTACGCAATATAGCTTGGATAATTTTTTTAAATAATTTTATACAATGATTTTTCTACTCTGTATATTTCTTACACGATTTAAATGAATATACAAACATTTATTACGTAAAATGAAAATAATGAAGTAAAATTGGCAAAAGGCTAAAAAACAATTATCCAAAACAAGCAGAAAATGTTATATATTTTTCAAAACTATGAATAATGCCGCAGATATAAAACCAAAGAAACTATTTTTAACCAAAGTTTATTTGTCTAAGGCATCAGAGCAAAACAAAAACAAAAAAATTAAAAAAAAAATAATAAAAAAAAAAAGAATTAAATAAAAAATTATAAAATATTTCCTACATTTTCCGCTGTGTAAAAATGCCGCATCCACGCGGCAGTCAAATATTTTGTTTTACAGACAAATGCTAAAAGGTCTGCTAAGGCTAGAAGAAAAATTTGTAGACATACTAACGAAACTACAAATACAAGCAAAACGTCTACAAATTAAGCGAATTAATGTCTGTCCGTTTGTTGTTGGCTTGTTTCACGTTTAGCGCTGCAGTGACAGTGACAACAAAAAACGAGTGTCTTCCTTTCCTATTCGACATTATTTGACTCTAATTTATGTTACTCATACGTAGCGGTGTGCGAATATTCTTGGCACAAAAATTTTGCAGAAAATTAAATTTAATTTATATTACTTTTATTATTTATAAGAATTTTGTGTTCTTCTTATTTATTCATTAATTTTTAAATTAATGAATTGTGTTATATCAAAATAATATATACATATAGAAATACATAGTACGTTAATATTGAAAGTGCTTTGATTTAAAATTTAGTAGAGGTTTTCATAAAAATTAGGGAAATTATTAAAATTAAATTTTTAATAAAAAATACTTCATAAATTTAATGATAATCATAATTAGAAAAATTATTTTATTTAATAAAAACTAAATTGGAAGATTAAAAACAGAATGTTAAGAATAAAATATAAGAATATTATAATGCCACTTATTATATACAAAAATGCATCTTATTTTATAGATGCATTTACTACTGATAAAATATAATAAATATTTATTTATAAACTTTATTCAGAAAAGTACCATATAAACACTTATTTGTATATCATAAATATATATTAGGGTAACCTTTTGTTGTATGGGCAAAGATTTTGTTTTTCTGATCAGATTGGTTATATTATTTTCTACTACTTTAGTGAAAAGTAAAAAGTTTTGTGAAAAAATGTTTATAAAAAACTGAAATAAAAAGGTATTTCGAACAGTAGTGAACTATAACAACAAAAATTCTTCTTTTTATACTATTTTAATTAATTGAATTTTTGGCTGACAGCTGTTTCGACTGGCGCCAAATACCCATCATCAGTGGTCTTGGAAATAATTCTTGTATTTAATTAATTGTAAATAATTTTTGGATACTTTAAGTATTAGGAATCGAACTCGTATCCTGCCGAATTTGAAGCTTAGAGTCAGCGCAAAAACTGAAATGTAATTTTAATAGTAATTAGTTAGGGTATACCATCAATAATTAGGACCCACTTAGGCATATTGTGTCATTGTTATACCGTTTAAGAACTCAGAATTTTAAAAACTAACTTAAAGATCTCACAAAGCCTAAAATGCTCTTTAGAGGAAGCTTGGAACTGGCCAAACTTCTCATAAAAGTAAACGTTTAATATAGTAAATCGGCGCTGCGCATGCACTGGGAAGTAAGTAAGCACATGTGATGCATTTTAATTGTCTTACCGTTAACTGTGATAGGAATGATTAAACGAAGGAATGATTTTTTAGTATGGCTCCCTCTCCATTAGCAAACCACAAGACTAATATCTCTGCGTGGCATATCACTGAGAGTACAAATGCATTTATATTGTTAAATATTCCTATCTTTTATTAAATTGTTCGTCTATCTATTGAACAGTTCGTCTTTCTAGCAGTTACCGAAAAGATCCTTATCGCCGAGAACGTAGAGTAGAAAAATATTAAACTGCGTCATCAAAAAATGCGTCATAATTAAAAACCGTCCTGGTTTTAAATTGAACTAAACTCAAAAACTTTAAGGAAGCATGACTATTTTATAATATGTACATATCCCTGTTTAATATATCACTTCCGTCTTAAAACACTGCTATCATCGTTTTGGTCCTATTGATTCTTTCTACTTTAATGCTGAAGCGAATTTCTTAAAAAATTAATTTGTCTATATAATTTTCTTCAAAATTGGCGTTCTACATTCATGGGTATCAATGAGTATAATAGGGTTTTGCAAATACTTTTTTGTGATCGCTTCACTTGACTTATACTTTATAAGTTTCAAACGTATATACCTAATGTTTTGTTTTATTACCTCTTTGTATTCATTTTAGGATTGTAATTGATATATAATTTATATTCTTTCTGGTTTTAAAATTTTAATAGTTCTTCTTTTTGGACTATTATTCTCTCAATGAATATACATATAACAGTACATACATCCTCTACATCAAAAACTCCATCATACATTTCGCTTCTACATAATTTATTTTAAATCTAATGGTAACTGCTAAACCTTCTAAATTTTTTAAGATTGCTTTTAGTACAAGCACAGAATCTCATCCACATAAGAGTAAATTCGAATGTTACTATTAAAAGTAATTTTTCCGGTATCAAATCTTTTTACTACATTATAAAATACTATATTGATGGCAAGTATTTTTAAAGTATATTAAAAGGAAAAAAACTTCTTGTTTTCTCCCTGAGCTAATTTTAAAAGAATCGGTTAATTCTCTTCATAAAAGCATTTAATTTTTGTGTTTTTCAAGATAATTCCTATAAACGTCGCTAAATTTTTTGGTATGTCAATTTTGATGAGAGTAAATTCAGTTTTCACCTACCCAATGCTATCAAAAGCTTACTAAAATTTGATGAATTAGGAATGGAGTGAATGTCTGTTTTAATTTCGTAGATCTTTTTAAAAATTTGACAGGGAATAAAATATTGCTCAATAGCTGATCTCCTTCAATGAAAATCAAATTGGTAATAATTAAGAATTTTACACAAGGTATCACCAAGAATTTGTTCACAAGTTGATAGAGTATGTTTCTAAAAATGTTATACCCAATGTTGAGCAGCCACAGCTCAGTGAAACGTTTTAAAGATTTTGCTAAACCAAAGTTAACTTATTTATTTTCATCCATTTTTTCACCAAATTTATGTCAATTTTTCATTCTCACAAATTATTTACGTTTTTTTTTTTTTGTGATATACTATCTATTATGTGTAGTTTAACCTATAGAATTAGAATAATTTTAATTTAATACCAATATTTAGTTGTGGATGGTAAATTGCAACATCAGTTTACACCAAGACTGATTAGAATATGAAAATTTTAATAGTTTTGACACATTTTATGGTATTAACACAAAAACATATTTGCTACGCTTAGTGAATTTATATAGTTCGCTATAATGCCCTATAATGTTTTACAAGCCCAATTGATTATTTTTAGAAATTCTTTATGTCGGCATAAATCGGCATTTCATAGTTGTTAGAAATGGGACCCCTTGGGTAAAAGTGGAAGTAACTAACGACATATCTTATTTCTTGTTGGCCATTCCGATTTCCCGCGCACCGCGTTTTAACAATAGATTTTAGTCGTGCCAGCTATTTTAAGCAATTTTTTTCACTGCTCTATATGCTGATAGATTTTCTTCTTAAGATACATTATATAATACATTCAAAATATCAAGTTTTTAAATTGCTTACATGAACAACATAATTCGTTTTGGTTTGACAAAAAGTTCTTTATAAAAACATAGTAAGTTAGGTTAGATTATACCGGTGATCCTGGTAAGGGAATTCACTTATGTCTAGTGATCCATAGTTTTTACCGTATATAAAGGAAACTCAGGGTTTAAAACCATCTAGAATCTTTGGCGAAGCTTAGAATGCTGTTCTTCAAGGAATTGGGTTCCTAAAGTGTTGAGTCGCCGCCGTGCATGCGCTGGGTAAAGACAGAGTAGATGAGAGGTACTTTCATCATCTTCCCACAGGTGCGACAGATATCAATTTTCTAGCATGGTGCCCTAGTCTGCAGTGACATATAAGTAAACCAACCATAAAACTGATATCTCTACGGAGCATCTTAATGAAAATATTGGATTTTCTTTTAGCGAAAAGGGGTCACATTGCAAGGGGTATGCCTATATATTATCGTGCATCTCAATGAGAATATTGGATTTCCTTTTAGCGAAAAGGGGTCAGATTGCAAGATATGCCTGTATATGAGTCTTCCCATTTTTAATTAAAAATTTCAGCACAGAAAGAACTCAGTAACAATTTGCATGATGCAAACGATATGCCTAGATTACTTAGATGTAACGTCTTGAAGCAATTAGCTCGTCTGTTCTGCAATTACCGAAAATATGCCTATGACAGATGAAACAAATTTTTAAATTAAAAAAATACAGATTTGAACATGTTAATAGTATCACCAGTTTTTATTTAACAGTGACGAAAACAGTTTTGAGTGGAGAAAACAGTGTTCAGTGGAGAGAAGTCGGTGAATTCACCCAAAATGGCAAAATAACGAATACTTCTTGCGGTACATGGTATGATATTTATTCACTATTCCAGGGAAAAACACGTAAATAGCGATTATTAAATCTAGTTATATTATTTGGTGATATCCGAAGACTTGGTAAAAAAGTGGTTTTTTACAGAAATATAACACTTCATCACAAGTCATTAGTTGCGATGTTTAACAATAGATTTTAGTCGTGCCAGCTATTTTAAGCAATTTTTTTCACTGCTCTATATGCTGATAGATTTTCTTCTTAAGATACATTATATAATACATTCAAAATATCAAGTTTTTAAATTGCTTACATGAACAACATAATTCGTTTTGGTTTGACAAAAAGTTCTTTATAAAAACATAGTAAGTTAGGTTAGATTATACCGGTGATCCTGGTAAGGGAATTCACTTATGTCTAGTGATCCATAGTTTTTACCGTATATAAAGGAAACTCAGGGTTTAAAACCATCTAGAATCTTTGGCGAAGCTTAGAATGCTGTTCTTCAAGGAATTGGGTTCCTAAAGTGTTGAGTCGCCGCCGTGCATGCGCTGGGTAAAGACAGAGTAGATGAGAGGTACTTTCATCATCTTCCCACAGGTGCGACAGATATCAATTTTCTAGCATGGTGCCCTAGTCTGCAGTGACATATAAGTAAACCAACCATAAAACTGATATCTCTACGGAGCATCTTAATGAAAATATTGGATTTTCTTTTAGCGAAAAGGGGTCACATTGCAAGGGGTATGCCTATATATTATCGTGCATCTCAATGAGAATATTGGATTTCCTTTTAGCGAAAAGGGGTCAGATTGCAAGATATGCCTGTATATGAGTCTTCCCATTTTTAATTAAAAATTTCAGCACAGAAAGAACTCAGTAACAATTTGCATGATGCAAACGATATGCCTAGATTACTTAGATGTAACGTCTTGAAGCAATTGTATGAATTAATTACCAGATTTGGCTTATACACCGACAACTGTCTATTCGCATAACTTAAAAGCATGCACCAGGAAAAGAGACTATCTTTTATCTCAACAAGAAAGTCATCTGATGTTATTTGAAGCTAAACATATATATCGTTCAACGAGTCATAGAAATCTTAAAAAAGGTTTAAAATAGGTGTATTGTTGTTTAGAGGACTTATATTGATGGTTAATATCACAATTTATGGTTTTTAATAATCACCGTGAATAATCACTCATATACCTACGCGTTTAGATTAAATATAAGGTTTTAGGTTCTGATAGTAGAATGGAATAACCTTTTGTCGACAATATTACAAACATTATTATATTTTTTAAGTCGTAATTTAACTTAAATTATGAAAGAAGTGACTATTTTTCTTAATAGAAACTATTGTATTTTCTGTTTCGAAACTATTGTATAGAAACCTCTCCATTATTATTTTTATTATAATATTATTACATCTAAAATAAATGAAATATTATACTCGTACATAAAATAACTTCATAAAATAAAGTTCTATCCCATAGTGCAATAAGCAATAAGTGTATATAATACGTATATTTGCAGGCAATAGAATAGGTCTGATTCATATATACCTAATAATAAAAAATATAATACTGAAAAATTTTACTTAATATTAAGGTTATATTATTATATACACTGCTTACTTTATTATGTTTCAAATAAACAATAAACAAATAACAATAAACAAAAAATAATAAACAATTTTATTCTACTTATAGATCCCCGTGGTTTTCCTCTTAATGCTACAGAAGTACACAGGCTGCCAAAGATTTCCTTCAGTGATAATTCGAGTTCGATTGTGCGGTGTGTACCGAACGAAAGAGCCACATTTTTTGTAAAAATCGATTGTGAAGATGAAGAAAATTTGCTGCCATTGAAATTCGAATGGTAAGTTTAAAAATTTTAGTTAATTAAACTTTCAGTTTAAAAAATGTTATTTGAAATGATTAAATCGAAACTGTTTTAACCGATCAGCCAAAATGTTTATAAAGGCAGAAATATTTCTGATACTTAATAAAGTCCAAAAAAATTTTGCATTGGCTTTTTGCCATCAAAATTATAATCAACGGGTTTTGACAAATACGTTCATTTGTTTAATGTTTTAATTTGCCAATTTTTAATAAAAAAAAATTGTAGTATATATTTAATATAAAACTGTTTCATCAGTTTTGTATTATTATAGGTTTTTAAGAACTTTAGAAGATTTCATTGAAGAATATTTTTTGAAAACTTTATAAACAAAGAACTACTCTAAGCAATTTGTTATTAAAGAATATGTTGGAGAAAGAATTAAATTCACCCTATTTAATCTTTTTTAGGCCGAGCTATTTAATAACAAATTACAACTTAACATATAGATACTGTTGTAATGTATACTATGTACTATATTATAAATACTGTTGTTACTATGTACTAGGTATGATTAAAAATAAACAAAAATTTTGAAATTTTCACTGTCCATAGAATATTTATGTATTGGTTAGACTGCGAGTAACGTAGGTGTTATGTAGATAAGTCTACATATATATTCCGAGCGACTAAATAAAACCTACATTAGTTAGTTTGTTAGGTTTTTATTTTTATGGTAAAATGAGAAATCTAATCTCATAATTTTGTAATAAAACGGAATTAAGTACAGTGAAACTTTGAATATGTTAAAGAAAGCTTTTGGTAAAGAAACGCTTTTAGGAAGGTCTAGAAGAAATAACATATGACACTTAGATATAATGTTTCAACATGACAAATTTTGTAACAACAAAATTTTCTTTGAAACGATTAAATTTGCAACAAAAATAAAATCATTTAATTATCGCTGAGCAAATGATATCGTGAACGATCCAGATCTCCTCACATGTGATATAGCTGACAATAAAATGTGGATACATGGTTTAAAAGTTCACAATTGATCAAGTTTAGTTCTTTCAAATGGACATTATAACCATATTCTATTAAAAGTATAGTTTATTAGAATAGTTTACTGATACTGAAATACTGATTTTTAATAAGGATTACAACTTACATGTATCACGAAAAAATCTCAAACTTGTACTTTCTCCTTAATATACCTAAAAGATTATAAAATTCAGAAAAATTTTCCATCATATGCAAATTTTCGTACATATATTACGAATGATATATCGTAATAATATTATTAATGATATTGCTCTATAGAACAGATACTCTATGATTTACTCTATTCAAAAAAAAAAAACGTCGAACTTCGCAAATCGATATTTTGTTCTAATCGATTTCAGAAATGGAGCATATCAAAAAAAAAGATCAAAAACAAAAGAAATCTTTTTTTTTTTTTTTTTTTTTTTTTTCCATTAATATTACAACTATCTTAGATATCTAGTAATACTTTTAACAAATGAAAATTTGGAAGTTTCAGTTATCTTAAATCATCATTTAAGATAACATGTTAATGATAATGATATATTTCATAAAATTTTAAAATATTTCATAAATAATTAGATAAATAAATACATAAATCAATAAATAAGTAAATAAAATAAATAAGTAAATAAAATAAATAAATAAATAGACAAATAATTACATAAGCAAATAAATAAGTAAATAAATTAAATAAATAAATAAATAATAAAAGTAAAAAGAAAATAAATAATAAATAAGTAAATAAAATAAATAAATAAATAATAAATAAGTAAATAAAAAGTTAAATAATAAATAGTAATAATAAATAATAATAATAAATTAATAAACATAAGTTAGAGTAAGCTTAATTTAATACTTTATACTTAAGTATGTTGGGAGTGTACGTTTAAGACGTTTTTTGTATCCTAGTTCCAGGGCAGGGAGTCTTCTCATTTCTAGGTTTGAATGCTGAAGCAATTTAGATAAGTGGTTCGCACTGCTTTTTTGAATTGTTTCGTGTACTGTAGGGATATTCAGGTCTTTGTGAATATCGTCGTTTCTGATGTACCATCTAGCATCTACTATCGTACGCAGGATTTTTGATTGGAGCCTTTGAATAGTATTTATATAAGTCTTGCAGGTGGTTCCCCATATTTCAATTCCATATTTCCAAATCGGAACAATAATACTTTTGTAAATTAGTAGTTTGTTGTCTATTGACAGACTGGAAGTTTTACCAAGAAGCCAATATAGATCTGCAAATCTTCGATGAGCTTCCTTTTTCTTCTGAATTATGTGCTCCTTCCAAGTCAGCTTTTGGTCTAATAGCATACCCAAGTAATTGGCTTTCTTGCAGATTGGTATATCAATGTTAACAATTTTTAGTTTCTGTTCTTCAAATTTTCTGTTAGTGAAAATGACTTGGACAGTTTTTTCGGCGTTTATCTTTATCCCCCAGGTGTCAGACCAATGCATCACTTCGTTTAGATGATTTTGAAGATTTACAGTTGCTTTAGTGATATCATGGTTCGTTGATAAAAGTCCAGTATCGTCAGCAAACGTTACAGTTAGTATTTCTCCAGTTTTAGGCTTAGGAATGTCTGCAGTGAATAATAGATATAGGATCGGATCTAATTCACTCCCTTGAGGGACACCGGCTTCTATTTTTATCATGTGGGATGTGTCGTTTTGGTATTGTACAAAGAAGTATCTATCTTTAAGGTAGCTCTTCAGTAGTAAATAAAAATCGGCCGGCAATATTCTTGATAGTTTGTAAAGCAATCCTTCGTGCCAGACGCTGTCGAATGCTTTAGCTACGTCTAAAAACACACCCACAGTGAACTTCTTAGAGTCTATATTCATTGCAATTTTACTAGCCACCCTATGAATTTGCTGAATAGTAGAATGCTTTTTACGAAATCCAAATTGGTGATTTGGCAATAGGTTGTTTTCTTGTATTATTGGTTCAAGTCGGGAGAAAAGAAGATTTTCAAATAGTTTGGATAAGATAGGTAATAAGCTGATCGGTCTGTAAGAGTTGACAATTGAAGCATTTTTGTTTGGTTTAGGTATTGCTACGACCTTCGCTACTTTCCAAACAGAAGGGAAAATCTTATTGCTGATCATGCAGTTAAAGATGTTTCTAATGTAAATTATGGCTATTACAGGTAATTCTAGAAGAAATTTACCAGATATCTCATCGTAGCCTGGTGATTTTTTTGGGTTGATGTTAACGGCAATGATGTTTTTTATTTCAGCAATTGTTGTCTTCTTAATTTTAAAATTCATCTGGGTCAAGTTCTGGGGTAATGCATGGTTTGTATCATTTTTAGGATTTGTAAATGTGCTCTTAAAATACTCAGCGAGAACAGTTGCTTTTTCTTGGTTTGTGCGCGCCCAAGAGTTATCTTCTTTTTTAATCGGTGCGCAATGAAGTATGGCGCCATTACTACCCTTTGTAGCTTTCCATAAGGAGTAATTTGTAACCTTTGTAGCACTCAATCTTGAGATAAAATTTGATACATTTTTTTGTCTTTCAGCCTCTAATAAAACTTTCAGCTCTTTTGTTAATTTATTCAACTTTGTCTTTATTTGTGGAGCTCTAGATACTTGCCAGATTTTTCTCAACTTTCTTTTTTGTTCTATTTTATGTTTGATATGATTCGGGACAGGTATTACATTTTTGGTTTTTATTATTGGTGTAGATGTAGATGCTGCAGATAATAGTAGAGAATTGAAATTGATTATTGCATTATTTATTTCCTCTTCTGTTCTTAGAGCTACATTTATAACTAATTGTTCTTCTATTATCTCGCGATATGTATCCCAACATGTTTTATAATTGTAAGTATTAATGTTCGTATTGTTCATAGTAAGAGTTGCGCTGTAAACTAGTACTATCGGTGAGTGGTCAGAGGACAACTCAAGGCTGGAATGAATGGAAAGGTTACTTACATTTATGTTTTTTGTTATAAAGAAGTCAATCAAATCAGGTTGCTTTCTTGGGTCAAGAAATCTGATGACAATAATAGTGTGGGAATGGATATATTTTTAACAGATCGTGTAATAATATCGATCGAGAAAAATCGCGGTGAAACTTACCAGGATTTCGACATCATGTGATTTCGACACATCATAAAGTCGACTTCATTTTCTTTCTAAAATTATTATTTTTTGAACTATCTTTTTTTTAAATACGGCACATAAAACCACAAGTCCACAATTTTTAATTGTTATGTACATGAAGTGCTCTATAATAGCACTTGCAAAAATTTCAATTAAGTAATTTAAAATAGATTTTATAACTTGTTTATAGGTTTTGTTTAAGATGGCTATATTTTTATTGCCTTAAAACGAGAAAAATTTCAATATTCTACTGCTTTAAAAGGAAACAACTTTAAATAAGAACTTCACAACTCGTTTTTAATAATCTCTTTTGTTTATTTTTTTTCATTCCTCTACACTCTCTGAATTAACCAACAACTAAATAATTTTATTAAAGAGTTCCACAACATGGATCAAGATTGCAAACTCAAAATTATCCCACTAAAATTGGAATCGAGACGATTCGGCTTGCAAAATACAGATTCCAGACATATATTATGAATCGCAATCACGACGTAACACTTTGTTTTATGAGTAAAATACAACTCTTGCATACATTTTAAAATTCATTGAAATATTTTCTGAAAACTGGATATTTATGTGCTCTTTTCGAACGATGGGACTGAAACTTTAAAAAGTAACAGTCTTGTTCAAAGCGGCAGTTATGTTTACCTAAGTTATGCTTGGTACGTGATTAATTTATAACAATGTAATTAAAGAGATTTCAATTTTTCGTGCGCTGTGATTTGAAAAAGGAAAACGCTTAAGAGTCGATGCATTAAGATCTGATTACTGAAGTCAGCCAATTCAATAGCAGATTAATTCATTATATAATATCCATTTTATATTCATTATATATTATTATACATATATACAAAAACTTCTGGCATTTCTTAATTACCATATGT